CGGCCTCCGCCGGCGCCTCCCCGCGCCCGCCCGCCTCCTCCCTCCCTCAGTCCCTGCGGCTCCCCCGGCTTTCGGGGCCCGGGGGTGGCCTGTGGCGCGCGGCAGCCGCGCTGGACTGCGCCTCTTGGACCTTGAGGGGAAACATGCGTTTGGCGTGGATCGTTTTGAATTCTTAGTTTGGGGTCCCCGCCCGCCTGGCTCTTGCGCCCCGTGTGTTTTCCGTATTTTTTCTTTTTCCTTTTTCCTGATTTCCTTTTCTTCCTCTCGGTCTCCTTTTTGACTCCCTCCCCCTTTATGCTAGCCCAGCTCTACCCCGGCTGCTGAGAAGTGGGGGAGGGTCTCGGTCTCCAGGTTCCCGCCCCATCGGGGCCCGGGCGAGCATGGGTGGCAAGCAGAGCACGGCGACCCGCTCCCGGGGCCCCTTCCCGGGGGTCTCCACCGATGACAGCGCCGTGCCCCCGCCCGGAGGGGCGCCCCACTTTGGGCACTACCGGACCGGCAGCGGGGCCATGGGGCTGCGTAGCCGCTCGGTCAGCTCAGTGGCGGGCATGGGCATGGACCCCAGCACGGCCAGCGGAGTGCCCTTTGGCCTCTACACCCCCGCCTCCCGGGGGACTGGCGACTCGGAGAGGGCGCCCGGCGGCGGAGGGTCTGCGTCCGACTCCACCTATGCCCACGGTAATGGTTACCAGGAGACGGGCGGCGGTCACCATAGAGACGGGATGCTGTACCTGGGCTCCCGAGCCTCGCTGGCGGATGCTCTACCTCTGCACATCGCACCCAGGTGGTTCAGCTCGCACAGTGGTGAGTCTACCTACGGGTGCGGAGGCCTCGGAGGGTGGAGTGTAAGGGAAGGCGCGCCGGGGCACCCCACACCTCCTGTGTGCCAGGATTTGGGTATGGAGCGCACTTCTGTCTGCCTGCCCTTTGGTTCCCGATGCTAGAGGATGAATGGGATACCTCGTGTCTACAAAAGAGGATTTCCACTAGGCTGCGGAGCCCGGCGTCTTGGGACTCCAGGCGTGTGCTCACTTGTGGATGGCAGATTCACTAGAGCCTGCCCACTGAAGTCTCATTTATGGGCATCACTATCCTCAGAGAGGAGGTATCATCTGGCTTGCATCGAATCTGTCACTGCAGCGTTGTGTCTTCCTCACCTTCAACGGGGGAGGGGGTCCAATTTGACCAGAAAGTGTCTCCCAAATAGGAGTGTGAAAAAAAAAAAAAAAGAAAAATAGAATTGGGGATGACTCGTGCTTGGATGAGGGCTCTCTTGCTAGGAGAAGGGGAATGCCCAGTTTTGTCACCCTGCTGGAGATCTGTTTGGATTGTTTAAAATGGAGCAGGCAGCTGGCATAGACAGGTGTGGCTTGCTGTATAGAAGGCCTCCTGCTCTGGCTTTGCAGGACTGGGGCTTTGGTCATGCAGTAGGCTTGGCTCAGCGGCTCTCACATCCCACCATCTTTTTTCTTCAGCTTTGTGCTAAGTGCTCTGCTCTTCCTGTGAATCTGCATCTTTTCCTAACCGAGAAAGGTGGGGTACTATTGCCTGGTTGTTGGCACATGACTGGGAAAGAGGAGGATTCAAAGAATCTGGATGAATTCATTCTGTAAACTTTGGTGACATTCCAGCTGAAGACTAGAGGGGGATTTCCCAAGCTCTAGCAGGCAGGGCAGTAAAGGCCTGGCAGGCCCTTCTGGAGGAAAACTGGTCTATCTGGCTATCCTGAGAAGCCAGGTCAGGCTTCTAGAAAATTGGTCAAAAGGGGTGTGAAGCTTCTCTTTGTTAATTGGCAAGCTGAGTGAGGAACCTACATATTCAGACTCCTTTGGGTAAGTTGGGAAATGTTGCCTATTGTATAGGAGAAGGATTTCTCCTGTCCTTAGGATATTTTCTGGGAGAATCGCTGCTCTTTGAAAACAGGGTAGGCTTTTTGTATTTCTCTTTCTTCCAGCAAAGTTTCCTTTTATTTTTTGTTCTGTAAACTTTAATTTGTGAAATAATTTTGTGGAGGGCATGATGACTAGTTTAGTGTGGTACTTGGGAGTAGCTTTTGAATTATTATTAAAATGGTATTGAAGGCCAGAAAAGATGTCTGGATGTCTTTGGAGTTTCTCTGACCTGCCTGTCACTGTCCTGAAAAAGATGCATATTTGCCTTTGGCACTTTCAGGCATCTGATCAGCTTTAGAACCTTGAGATTAATCTTTCTAAGGCAGTTCAGGCCAAAAAGAGTTATCAGCTGTTTTTGTGAAGTGATTGTGGTTTTTGAAAGAACTGTCATTAGTATCTGATTTTAAACTGAAAAGCATAGGAAACAGTTTATCTAAAATCTGTGTGTAGCAAAACAAATATAATAAGGATTTCTGTGGAAGAGCAAGACAGAGGATTCTCTTTGTTAAAATTTCTTGAGTCTGTCTCCTGCTAGAAACTTCTTTATCCTTATCCCCCTACTAGTTCCATGCCTGAGTTAGAAGCCTACAAATGAGTTCCAAAATTACATGCCCCTCGAGTGTGAAGATTTAATTTTTTTCATGGAGTTGCAGTGAGGGTAGGGAGTGCCAGCAACCCAGGAGGATACAGAAAAAGTTGGAGCCTGTCAGTCTTTTATGAGGGGTATCTCTTAAGGTGTGTGTGCAGGGGTGCTGTTAATATTCTGGTAATAACATGCTGTACTGTATAGGAACATCCTGTCTTTTTGCAAGGCTTTGAGCATACACTTGTCCCCAACCAACCACATGCCAGTAGCATCCTGAAGTTCACCCCAAAATCTCTCCACAAGTTCCCAAATTCCCTTTGTGGTGAGGTTACCACTGTGATTGAGATCCCCCACCTTAGAGAGTTGTCCTTTTTCTCCATAAAGTAATTAGCTTTTCCTATGCAGTTCAGTTGAGATGAACCCTCATCTGCAGCTGTGGTTCTGTCTCACTGTACCACCAGATCATGGGATTTTCTGGGACATCCCTTTCTTTTGTTCATTGCTGCAAGGAAAGAAGTTCCTTTCTACTTTAGAACCTTTCATTCAGGCCTGAGCAGCTTTTGTAACCTTGGTTAAGATTCGAGGGTAGGGAGTTTAGTGCACAACTGACAAGATGCCTGTGGAAGCTGATACGGTACTGTTGCTTGTGTTTTCAAGGTGCTTTGGGGACTCTTCAGGGCACAGAAAACAGTCACCGAAATATATCAAAACATTGGGCTCATGCTGCTTCTGGAAATAGAATAATGAAGGGTCCAGTCTCATGTCCTGAATAGCTGTGACCTTGGGCAGGATATACATAAGCTCTCTAGCCTCATCTTTGCTATTTATTTATTTATTTATTTATTTATTTATTTATTGACAGAACCAGGGATTGAACTCAGGCCCTTGCACTTGCCAGCGAAGCACTTATTCCACTGAGCCATCTCCCTGGCCCCTCATCTTTGCTTTTTAAAAAATAGATGTGGTAATCCTCAGCAGTGACAGCCCGCAAGGGTCCCTAAAGGTTGTTCTCCAAATCCTGTGAGATGATGCCCTGCAGTCACGTGTTTTCAGGGTTCCTGTGTGCTCTGACCCTGCATATCCTGTTCCCCATGTTGGAATGCTTTTCCTTCCATTCCTCACATGGATGGCTTCTTTGAATCCTTTAGGGCTCAAATGAAAAATTCCCTAAGAAACCAGTTTTTAAACACTGGCCCATCCTTAAAAACTTGGCCTGGCCTAGTGGTGTGGCAGTGCAACCTGCAATCCCAGCTATTTGGGAGGCTGAGGCAGGAGGATTGGTAATTCAAGGCCAGTCTGGGTGAGTTAAAAGTTAGTGAGACCCAGTCTCACAATAAAAAGGGCTGAGGATATAGCTCAATGACAGTGTCCCAGGTTTAATCCCCAATATCATACCATAAACAACATCATTAACAGCAATAAAACCATCCAGGTGGCAGTCAGTACCAGGAGAGAATCACAGGAAAGGCCTTTTTGTTTTTGTGGTGTGTTACAGCCCCATCTGTTTCTGATTTCTTTTGAGATAGGGCCTCTGCTGAGTGGCCCAGACTGGCCTTGAACTTGCATTCCTCCTGCTCCAGCCTTCTGTGTGCCTGGGATTATGGGCATGGATCACCACACCCAGTGTCCTTTAGTTCTTTTTTTTGGCGGAACCGGGGATTGAACTCAGGCCCTTGCGCTTGCCAGGGAAGTGCTTATTCCACCAAGCCATCTCCCGGGCCCCTGTCCTTTAGTTCTTAACATATCTTGTGTTTTACTTATCAGTTTACTTTGTCTGCTTAATTTTGACAATTCTAAGCTCCAGGAGAACAGAATTGTCTTTTGATCGCGGCTGTATTATCTTTTGATCTTGCACTCTGCCTTGCCTAGCTCAGGTATTTCCCAGTGTGAGCTTGAGTGGTTTATGTTCCTCATCTCATCATCTTTAATCATCATTATAACTATGAGGTAAAGCTGTTACTCCCTTTTCTGTGAGGAAGTAGGTTTGGGAGAGGTTAAGATCATAAGATCAGACAGCTAGTAAGTTTTAGGTAGCAGAAGTGGGACTGGAAATGTCGGTCTTATTATTTTGTAATCCCAGCACTTAGGAGGCTGAGGCAGGAGGACTGCTATGAATTTCAAGCTAGCCCAGGCTAAATAGTGAGTGCAAGGCCAGCTTGAATTACATACATAGTGAGACCCTGTCTCAAAAAACAAAACAAAACAGAAGTAGGACTGGAGTACAGGCTTGGCCACTCCAGACCTATGCCCTGAACCTTTGCTCTCTGTGTCTAGCCTCTCATCTGGAAACAGGAGCAAAGTGGAGGTGTCCTGGGAATGTGCTGGCTGGCCAGGAGTGTAAGAGTGAGGCCCTTCTTCTGGTTGGCCTGCTGATTAACTGTGACTTTGGGCAGGTAGGTCATTAGGCCTCAGAGTCACTCTTTCTTTATCCGCAAGGTGGAGCTAATACCTGTCCTGCTTATCTTGCACAGTCATCTGGAGGGTCTTGTGAGACAGTGTTCACAGATGCCAATGGACATGTAAATGGGCGATAGAGACAACTTCTGTCACTTCTTCATGGTTGATAGGCAGAGATGTTTACAGCTGTGGGAAAGTAGCACCCAACTGGTGCTGTCTGCAGTGGGTGGGCCACGGATCATGTTGGCTTCACAGAAAAGGGCTGCCTTCTGAAGCAGTCAGGGGCCCTTCCTGTTACTGTGTAAGTGCCCCTTGTGCTGTAAGGTGACACTGCAATGCCTGCTCGTTGGCTGCTCCTCTGTAGGCCTGGGTGTTCTTTGTTGTCCTGTACATCTCAGAATGGGAGTGTCCAGATGTGAGGCGAAATGAGGAGGATCCACCATGTTGGAAGTGGGTGCCTTCTGGGTCTTCCTGTAAAATGGTGGTTTCCTGATGGTTTCCCTCTGGCTTTGTCATGTGTGTGTATACATGTCCACATTCAGAAACACACAAGCTGCTCACTATTGTCACCAGGCCATCACTTGCATCTGAGAAGAGGTGGCTTTTTTTTTTTTTTTGTGGAACCGGGGATTGAACTCAGATCCTCGCGTTTGCCAGTCAAGCGCTTATCCTACTGAGCCATCTCCCCGGTCCGAAGAGGTAGCTTTTGATAAGGCTCTGAACATGCTAGCAGGGTATCTTCCAGGTTCTATTTGGCTGCCACAGTAGGGTTCTCAAGTGACTCAGTTTTCTCTATTCTTAAATGATGAGAGAGGGTTGCCAGCTCTATTGAAATGGATCAGAAAGCCTCTTTATCTCACCGTATGTACGTGTGCTAGAGGCAATGAGCCTTTGTATGGTTTCCAAAGGAAGAGAAACATTCTGTGGTT